ATTCTTTGTTGGGGTGGGAGGAGGGAAACAGAAGAGGAAAAATAGCTTTGTTTGGTTGCATTTCAAGCATCTAAAGCTGTCATCTTACATATAGGACACAGATTCTTCAGCATTAGCCACTGCTTTATGCAACTACAATGGAATTCATGCCCGCAATCCAATATGCCCATGTCATCTCCAGTTATGTATTCCTCCTGATAATCATACAAGAAAGATGACAATGTTTATGCAACAATTCTCAAAATTGTTTTCTGCAACAATTGTTCTCTTGTAATAGAAACTAATTATGGTGTAAAATGATCAGAAAAGATTATTACCCGACATATACAGCAAGGCTCCATGTTTGACGACGACCCTCCATATAGAGGCTCATGCTTCCGCTGTTTCATATGGCCCAAAATGGTTTCTTCACTCAATCCGGTGTTCACATTCCCTATACGTTCTTCCAACGCCAATAATTCCTAATAAATGAGAGAGTCAGTGAGAAATCTATTGCGAACTTTAGTGACAGTAAAACCCAACACCCATATTTACCTCATAAGACATGTTATCAACGTCAAGCCTCATGTCTCTATGCCTATCATGCAACTCCGCAACGCCGTTGACAAATGGATCGAACATCATATAATCCTGCGGAATATCAAAAATAAACATGCAAATTAATGAGAGAATTGTGTCTTTGGTGTCTACAAAAGGATCCAATAATTCACTTCTCCAGAAAAGTAACTCAGCCCTAAATAGAAAGGTGTCAGCTTAATAAAAGCTGTTCCATTAGCATTAAGCAACATGCACAGTGCATTTTGCAAAAGAGTTTGGCTATGGGTGTTTCTCTGCAATGAGGAAATAAGTCTAGATTAAGTGAGCTTCCTGCTAACAAGGAATCAAGATTTGAAACCTTCACAATCCAGTCAGTTGCTTGTTTTGGGTGTATAGCTGCACATGGTGCTTGTTCGACACATGATTTATCCATTATTGCAGATGCTTTTTGTGTGAATTTTCAGAGGGATCAGTGAGCTGCCTAATGCTTCTTGCAGTATATCAAGACAGATCTGGTCACAATTCCTGAATGTTTTGGATTTCACTGTGTGATGCCATAAAGCTTCAAAAAGCTGCCTAATATTTGGCAAGCACAGAGAATTGACAAGAGATGATGGAGATTTGGAAGTCAATCCCCTTATATATTGCTTGGACAATATGGCTGGAAAGGAATGAAAGATGCTTTGAAGGAAAGAAGGAACCTGTTTCTGTTAAATGTATTCAAAACTTATTTTTTTGGCACGAAGGGATTTTTGCTACTAATATGACAGATTTTGTGGACTTGTTACACTTTTATTCAGGTGCAGATTTTTGTAATATTGAATGTACCCTTTTGGTACTGATATCAATTAAATTTCCTTGAAAACCATTATAAAAAAAAGTGTCATCATCAAGATAAATCAAATAACTAGGCCCTAAGAACTTATGAACTCTAGATAAGGTGGAAAGTACAAAAGATAAACATCTTGGTAGGAGGGATAAGAAAAGTTAAAACTAAAAGAAAGGTTAGAAAAAGATATTGCATCTTAAAGAAAATGCTGAGAAACACTTTTCACCAAATCACCTAATTGCAGTGGCAGAGCCAACATCTTCACTAATGGGAGTCAAAATATAAAAAAGTAAACACACAAAGAAACCAAGGGGTTTCAAAAAGTTACCTATCTACATAGAACTATTCTCCAGCAAATGGGCGTTAATCGGCACCTCTTGGACAAGTGTGGCACCACTGCCTAATTGCCAGTCAGGTAACTATATCTCACTTATCAAAAAGAAGAGAAGAAAAGATAGGTAACTGGTTTTCCTCTTAGATTCCCACAATTGGCTACATCATCCGGCCATACATTTTTCTTGCTAAAGGTTTTTATTTTTAAAATAATAAGGATATTTCTTTACTAAAGATTACGGAGCATGGTTTACAAGCATCATAAAAAGAAACTCTAGAATTATTTTTCACCTAAATAACCTAATTGGCAGTCAGGTATAAAAAAATTCACTCATAACAAATTAGAGAATTTAGGTAATTACTTTTCCTTTTAGATTTCCACTGCTGGCAAGGCAACTATTTTGGCCATATTTCTACTTAAAGCTTACGGAGCAAAGCTTACAAGAGCTACTTAATTTTACAACTTTTCACATCTCAGCAAGTTGATTGAAATTTCAACCATCACGGTTTTCAGGTCATGACCTACAAAGAAGATAATAATCTTTTTGCGTTCGGAAACTTCCCAATCATATGATTGAGATGGGGCTTCTTCTTTTTCTCTCTTTTTTCATAAGGTGAAACAGAACTGGGTGTTCATGCTTGTAGCTAACTTATATGAATTACACGTGTAAACTAGCAGATATTCATCGGAGTATCATAAGGATCAAAACAAAACCTCGGATCGCATGTTCTCGGCCCTCCGCATGGCACGCAAGACTTGACGAATCTGTTGAATGCAAGCAGCGATAATTAGTAAGTAATGAGGAAAGTAATGATAGGTGAAAACTATCTCAAATCAAGGAAAAAAGTTGCATAAAAACAGCTGGATCGATTCAAGTGGAGAACTTAGCACAACAAAATATAGAATTTGACAACGAAAGATCATGTCACACCCAACTACTAGCGAAAGTGAAAACTATAACGTATCAGTTTCTGTTTTAGGTGGAAGTGCTTAAATTCACATTCATTGACACAACAATGTTCATTCTAAGTAACAAGTTCCGGGCGACATAGCTCTAGAAGAGCATAGATATCTGTAAGAATTTACCGCTTAAGCAAATTGTAATCCTTCTTCTAAACCCACTAAGCAGGTATTAACATGCTGATTGTCAAAAGAACTATCAACATATGCTTTTCTTCACGTATGATGCCAATACATGCACTTAAACGTTGGGCCAGCACAAGTCACAAGATCCGCCTCTCCTAAGTGAAATAATAATCAAATAAACAACTGATGTAACGGTCTTGATAGCTAATTGTCAGAAAACATATAAGGAAGCATGTGCTTCTCTTCATGTATGATACCAATACATGCACTTAAACCTCGGGCCAGCACAAGTCACAAGATCCACCAATCCTAAGTAAAAAAAATAATCAAATGTAACGGTCTTCATAGCATCGCAGGTAGGTAAAAGGGGGACAGCAAATAAATAGATTAAAAAAAGTATCAAGAGCAAAAAATAGTATACAAGAGCAAATATTTATACAGAAAATAACCAGATACAAGATGAAGCAGTTGATAAACATCGATGGACAAACCAAAGTAATATAGTTTTGATACTATTACAAACACATCTGCCATACCAGTCTGTGACGACCCTCGATATCAGCAGCTAAACCTCGCCATCCATCCACATCATTTCCTGAAAAATCGGCCACCGAAGTTGATCTAAGGTGAAGTTGATGATTACGACGGCTACTAGATCCACGGCTACTAGATCGGGATGACATCTCTGCCTCCTCCAAGGAAGATGCAGCTGAAGGCAGAAGGGAAAATGGACCTCTCTGACTTCCAGACCCAGACCCAACAGGAGTCCAAGGAGCAAATTCTGAAAAACTGTGATTGCTACTGGTTGCTGAGTTCTGATTAGGCATCCATGCAGTAGGAAAAGTTAGCGCACTTGTTCCATGGCCAGATGCAGAACTAGAAGGCGTGTTTCTGGAATAGCTCGCATTTGAAGTAGCTAAACTCCAATTAGTGGGATCATGTACCATATTTCTAGTCTCAGGAGCAGGAACAAATGGATGAGGTTCCCTATTATTTCTTATTGAACTCCTGAAGTTAGCTTCAGCCTGTAAGGCAGCGTATCTATCTCCAGAAACCATATTTGGACTTGATGAACTACCACCTCGTGAATTTGGAGATGCATTCCAAGGAACTGGATGCAAACCTCTAGGAACACCAGAAATGCGCATTCCACCAGAATGGCTTCCTGGGTTACCTGAATTTGTTGGCAGTGGAATTGGCTGTCTGGAGCTCAAGGAATTAGTTACTGAGATAGCTCGAGGAGTCACAAGACTAGAGCCGCCACTAGAACGCCCTAAATCGGTCCCAGTTGGCGGAAAACCAAATGTAATTGCATCTTGGTTCCCAAGATTTGGTCCACCTCCAAAATTTCTCGCAGATGTTTCCGCAACTCCACTAGCACTTAAAGGAGGAAATGTGTCAGAAGCAGCCACTCCTGTACCAACCCCATTTCTCGGAAAAAGGTTTTCTAAGTAACAAGTATTTTGCACACTTGCAGAGGCTGGTGATACATTTAAGCCGCTGGAAGCATCATATCGATTTGGAAAATTATGCTGTATAACGTTTTCGGGTTCTGCATTGGAGCTTGAACTACCACCACAAGACTGTCTAGAACTGCCTTCAAGGGCCTTGCGCTTGCAGGATAAACCCCAATTACCCATGGAAGAACTTGATATATCAGGGGGGCCTGCCCAATAACTAGAACTACCTGAAGACATACCAACATTGTAAGAGACATGGGAAGCAGGACGTTCAGCTTCCAATCTGCCACTAGATGTTTGGACAATTGGAGATACACTTGGTCTCACGACCAGCCGAGTGTCACCATGGTTGTATGCACCAGTTAAGTTAGCATTTCCAGGACTGTGAGCCGAGGCAAGATTTGGTAAATTTGGAGGGCTGCCAAACATATGATTTCCACCATATCCACTAGTGGTACTCTCAGGAAGGAAGATATTGGATGGTTCAAATCGCCTTTCTTCTGACTTTGGATTAGTCGTGGCATAATTACTTGACGAAGAAGCCCAACCATGTCCTATTTTCAAATCACTACCATGTCCAATGTTGTGCAGATTAGCACTGGAGCTCGACCCACCATGATCCCACCCACCGCGGTTCTGAGTGTTATAACTAGCAGCATTAGTGCAACTAGGATTTTCTCGAGTAGCAGAAACCATGGAATTTGATAATCGATCCTCTACTGGATTTAGCAAGTTATCCCAAGGGGCTGTCGGATCTACAGAAGCATTATTTGAAACAGATACCTGATTAAGATCAATAGTTTCAGGAAAGGAATCCAGTATGCTTCTGTTCCCTTGCATCTAGGTCAACAATGAGAAATCAAGGCCTTGAGTGCACTAGTGAGGAAACGCTGTCAAAGATCCAAATTATAATAAGTTAATATCTTGAAAAGGTTAAAGCATAATATCACTGGTGAAAACTGAAAATATATGAAAATCTAAATTGGTTATGTAACTTCTGATGCACTAAGATATTACTTTCAGCAATGTATAGTAACAGTTTATGATATGCTGACAATGCGGTAGCAATCACAATAAGAACAAAAGCTAAAACACACAATTGGTAAAACAATTGTCGATTTCATTTCAGCCCGCATGAGAACCACAACAGCCAGTAATTTCTTACAAGTGGGGTCTGGGGAGCAGTGGCGGAGCCACCTTATCCAAAGGGATGTCATTTGACACCCCTTAGTCCGGAAAATTACACTGTGCAGTTCGGTAATTTTTATTTTATATGTATTTATTACTATATGTTGACTCCCCTTGACTTGTTCGTGTGTTTACTTCTTTATATTTTGACATCTCTTAGTGAAAATTCTGGCTCCGCCACTGCTTGGGAGGGTAAGATGTACGCAGCCTTACCCCTACCCTGGAAGGGCAGAGAGGCTGTTTCCGATAGGCAGAGAGGCTGTTTCCGATAGGCCCTCGGCCGGAGAACGGATGAAAGAAGAGAAGAGAAAAAGGTGGCAACAAGTAGGAATAACAACAAGATAAAAAATACCGAAGTCAAGAAAGCAATTAAACTCTAGGTAGTGAAAGCCAATGAATAGAAGGATATCATACTAACACTAATGCTAGCAAACTAAGTAGAACAAAGAGAAACACTCGACTGCCTACTAGCTTCTACCCTAATCTTCGACCTCCACAACCTCCTATCTATGGCCATATTCTCAGTCAACTCCAGCTGCGCCATGTCCCGCCTATTAACCTCTCCCCAAGACTTCTTAGGCCTAACTCTACCCCTCCTAATACCCACTGAGGCTAACCTCTCGCACCTTCTGACTGGGGCTTCTATACTTCTCCTCTTAGTGCCAGAGAGAGCTGGCAAAGAGACAGTAAATCTTGTTTCTCCTATGAATTTCGTGAAACAGAAAAGATGGGATTTACCAACAATTTATTGAATGACTCAATACAAGTACCAGAAAAAACTAAATTGTCCTACTCAACAAGAAAAGATAAAAACTTTCTCTCTGGTGGATAGTAAAATTATCCTCTTTTTTCGCTAATGCTCCAATAAACAACCATTCAAGGAACAGCAAGGTTAAACATTCTTCATTGAATAACTGAAAAGTTGATTCCTCGTGCCTTCTGTATGAGGAATAAAGTACATTAGTATGCAGAAAAAGGATTTAATTTCCAAAATTATCCAACCGTAATAAACAGATAAAATTTCACAATTCAGTAAATAAGTCATCAGTATAACAACAACATGAACAAGTCTACCTCGGTCCCAAACAAGTTAGGATCGGTTATAAGAATCCTCATTGACCTTGTTTATCCAAGTAAATTCAACCCAGGCAAAAAAAGTCAACTCCTAGATATCACCGAGCGAAGTATTAGAACTAAAAGCTCAAAAACTTAACACTATTGAAAAATATTAAATTCTATAGATACAGCTAGTATTTGAACTCCATTGAATTGCAGATCCATAGTATGAAAAAGAAACCTATTGAAAGCCAAAAAAGTATCAAGTAAAAAAGCTGCTTATCTATTTTCGACAAAAACAATCTGGGTAAGCACAAGTGAATTCACAAAAACAAAAAAAGAGATAATGATGATGATGATGATAAAAAGCTGAAATTTCGTAGGAAATAGATACATATATTCAAGAAAATTAATGGGTCGATAAGCAAACCTCAGAATTAGCGGCAAAAGATGATCCGTGAAGTAACGGTATTATCTGGGTGGAAATTTGATTCTCTTTTTTGCTTTTTCTGTATAGAAAATAGCTATCTCTCCATGGAAGATGAACGGTTTCGTCTTTGGTGCAGAGAAATTTAGACAATTTGTACTACAAAGAAACAGTAAATAAGGGTAAAGAGAGAGAGAGAGAGAGAGAGAGAAAGAGAGTGACTCGTCTCTATTATGTGTCTCTCTCCGAGTTTCTGTAGGTGTGGCTGTGTGTGCCCGAGACACAGTAGGAAACGATTAATTAAGCTGTAATAAATGCTTACTTCTTTTTCTAATTCTGATTAAAATTAGTTTGTCTAAAACCCATAATAAAATAATACTGTTATAAATAAAGACCGTAAAATAAAAATAAGTATAAAGAGAAACTGATATATTATTCAAACTTTAAACTTATGTACATAGTGAACTGAAAACTCTTTTATTTATAGAAGAAATGAAGCAGCTGCGAGGCTTTTCAGGAAGCAGCTGCAAGGCTTTTCTTTAGCTGCTTGCAACCTGTATGTTTAATAAGAAGTTGTTGCAAATTATTTCATTGAGTTGCTTGCAACCTGCCTGCATCAGCTGCTTGTAGATAAATTTCAACAGAGTACTAAATGAATAATCTTTTTCAAGAAGATTATCTATAGCGGAGTAATAAATGGACATCCACAATAATTATTTTCATAACACTCCCCCTTGGATGTTTATTAAAAGGTATTGTGCCTCGTTAAAACCTTACTAGAAAAAATTCAGTGGAAAAAATCCTAGTGAAGGAAAAAGAGTACACATATTTAGTAATACACATTTTTAGATGACTCATTAAAAATCTTACAAGAAAAACCCTATGGGAAAAAGCTTAGTAAGGAAAAAAGAGTACATCGCGTATTTCACTCCCCCTAATAAAAATCTTGTTTCAAATATTTGAGTCTCCGCATTCCAATCTTGTATACCATCTTCTCAAAAGTTGAAGTTGGTAAAGATTTAGTGAACAAATCTGTTGGATTGTCACTTGAACGGATTTATTACACGTCGATGTCACCATTTTTCTGAAGATCATGTTTGTAGAATAATTTTGGTGAAATATACTTCGTTCTATCTTCTTTTATAAATCCTCTCTTTAATTGGGCTATGCATGCATCATTGTCTTCGTATAAAATTGTGGGTCTTTTATCACATTCCAAACCATATTTTTCTTGAATAAAATGAATCACTGATCTCAACCATACGCATTCCCTACTTGCTTCATGAATAGTTATTATCTCAGCATGATTTGAAGAAGTAGCAACAATTGATTGCTTTGTGGAGCGCCATGATATGACAATACCTCCACATGTAAATACGTATCCGATTTGAGATCGAGCATTATGGGGATCAGATAAATAACTTGCATCTGCATAACCAACAAGATCTGCACTACCTTTGTTAGNACATTAGCAAGATACATCAGTGCGCCAATTGCACTGAGATAGGGTACTTCGGGACCAAGGAGTTCCTCATCCTCTTCTGGAGGTCGGAATAAATCTTTTTCACTTCAAATGATCGAACAACCATTGGTGTACTCAATGGGTGCAGTTTGTCCATGTAAAAGTGTTTTAAGACCCTTTCTGTATAGGCAGATTGATGGATAAAGACCACCCCGTCTGCTAAATATTCAATCTGCAGACCAAGACAAAGTTTTGTCTTTCCAAGATCTTTCATCTTAAATTCTTTCTTAAGATATTCAATTGCCTTTTGGAGCTCTTCTGGAGTTCCAACAAGATTTATGTCATCAACATAAATAACAAGTATAACAAATTCTGAAGCCATTTTCTTTATAAAAATACATGGACAAATAACATTATTTATGTAACCCTCTTTCAACAAATATTCACTGAGGCGATTATGCCACATGCGCCTAGATTGCTTTAAACCGTACAAAGATCTTTGTAATCTGATTGAGTACATATCCCGAGATTTTGAATATGCTTCAGACATTTTAAATCTTTCAAGGATTTTTATGTAAATTTCATTATCAAGTGACCCGTATAGATAAGCTGTAACCACATCCATTAGATATATTTCAAGCCTTTCACGTAAGGTTAAACTGATGAGATATCGAAATGTTATGGCATCCATAACGGGTGAATATGTTTCTTCATAATCGACTCAGGTCGTTGTGAGAATCCTTGTGCAACAAGGCGAGCCTTGTATCTTTCAACTTTATTTTTATCATTCCTTTTTCGCACAAAAACTTATTTATGACCAACTGCTTTATACCAACAGGTGTTTGGACTAATGATCCAAAGACCTCTCTTTTAGCAAGTGACTTCAATTCCGATTGAATTGACTCTTGCGATTTTGGCCAATCAGATCTTTGTCGACATTCTTCGACAGATCGGGGTTCAAGATACTCACTATATTGCATAATGTTAAGTGCAACATTATATGCAAAAATACTATCCACCACTATTTTAGATCGATTTAAATTAATTCCATCACCAGTAGAATTTATTAAAAGTTCCTCACTCACTTGAGTCTCGGGTTCATTGATTTTTTCAGGAATCTCAGAACTAATCAGATCTTAGGTCTATTCAGGAGATCCCTTCATAATATCATTTTTTGATTTTCTTTTTCTAGGATTTCGATCCTTATAACCCAAAGGCCTACCACGCTTCAGGCGTGCTTTAGGTTCACTAGCTCTCATGCTAGTAGATGTTCCTGCTTGGACATCAATTCGGATAGGCACATTCTCTGCAGGGATATGTGACTTAGTTATCCTTTTCAAATCAGTAAATGCGTCTGGCATTTTATTTGCTATATTCTGTAAATTGATGACCTTATGGACTTCCTGATTACATATAGGGGTACATGGATCAAAGTGAGATAATGATTAAACTTTCCACACAATTTCTCTTTTGATTTCCTTTTTCTCTCCCCCTAATTTTGGGAAATTTATTTTATCAAATCGACAATCTGCAAAATCGAGCAGTAAATAAATCTCCCATCAATGATTCAAGATAGCGAATAATAGAGGATAATTCAAACCCAACATATATTCCTAACCTTCTCTGCGGGCCCATCTTACTGCGATGTGGTGGTGCTACTGGCACATATACAACACATCCAAAAATTCGTAGATGGGCAATATTTAGTTCATGACCAAAAAACTAATTGTGACGGAGAATATTTATTATAATGTGTCGGTCTGAGACGGATAAGTGATGCTGCGTGCAAGATAGCATGGCCCCAAACAGTAGTGGGCAAATTTATTTTCATAAGTAGTGGTCTTGCTATCAACTGCATGTGTTTAATAAATGACTCTGCAAGGCCATTTTGAGTATGAACATAAGCTACATGATGTTCAACTTTTATCCCAACTGATATACAGTAATCATCAAAAGTTTGAGATGAGAATTCTCCAGCATTTATCAAGGCGAATAGTCTTTATAGGATAATCTGAGAATTGTGCCCTTAATCGAATTATTTGGGCTAATAACTTTGCAAACGCTAGGTTGCTAGATGACAGTAGGCACACATGAGACCATCTTGAAGATGCATCTATTAGGACCATAAAATATTTAAACAGCCCACTTGGTGGGTGAATATGTCCACATATATCCCCATATATACGTTCTAAAAAGGCAGGGGATTCAATGCCAACCTTCATTGGTGATGGTCTAGTGATCATTTTGCCTTGATAACAAGCATCACAAGAAAATTCATTATTTGTAAGAATCTTCAGGTTCTTTAATGGATGCCCACTTGAATTTTCAGTAATTCGTCTCATCATTATTGATCCAGGATGGCCCAAACGGCCATGCCAAAGCACAAAAGTATTTGAATCCGTAAACTTCTGGTTTACGATAGAGTGTGCTTCAACTGTACTAATTTTTGAATTGTATAAGCCAAAAGATAAAGTTGGTAACTTTTCTACAATGCATTTCTGGCCAGAAATATTCTTTGTAATACAAAGATATTCCACGTTCATTTCATCTATTGTCTCAACATAATACCCATTTCGGCGGATATCTATAAAACTCAACAGGTTTCTTCGGGATTTGGAGGAGAATAATGCATTGTCGATAATAAGTTTTGTTCCCTTTGACAGAAATATAATGACTCTTCCGGAGCCTTCAAACAAACTTATATTACCAGAAATTGTTGAAACGTTTGCTTTTTCCTTATGCAAATAAGAAAAAGTATTTCTGATCCTTGAATATGGCATGGGTTGTTCCACTATCAATTACACAAATATCTTCATGATTGGTCTTTGATCCAAACAAAATTTGAGGATTATCCATATTCTCTGATACTTTCAAAGTATTTTCTCGAGATGACAGAGTCTCGTGCTGATAACGTATTATAAATAAAGACTGTAAAGTAAAGACAAGCATAGAGAGAAAATGATATATTATTCAAACTTCAAACGTATGTATATAATAAACTGAAAACTCTTCTATTTATAGAAGAAAAGAAGCAGTTGCGAGGCTTTTCAGGAAGCAGTTGCAAGGCTTTTCTTTAGCTGCTTGTAAGCTGTATGCATAAGCTGCTTGTAACCTGCCTGTTTAATAAGAAGTTGTTGCAAATCATTTCATTGAGCTGCTTGCAACCTGTCTGCATCAGCTGCTTGTAGATAAACTTCAACAGAGTACTAAATGGATAATCCTTTTTAGGAAGATTATCTATATCGGAGTAATAAATGAACATCCACAATAATTATTTTCATAACAATAATTATTTTCATAACAAGTACTTATTTTTCTTTGATATTTTTGTCCTACGTTATCTCGGTTTAATTTTTAAAATAACAATAATGGTCCAAAAGGAGGAGAAAACGGTTTTTTTTCTTCTTTTCCTTATTTCCTTTCTTCTTGAGATTTATTTTTTTAATATTTTGGTCAAAGGTAATACAACTTACAAGTAAGCCTTACTTCGATCCAAAATAACTTTCGTTTTAGCCGAACTGATTGGTCCAAAATGATATTAACATTTTTTTAAATTTACTATTACTCCAATAAATAATCATACAATTATAGGATGAGAAGAAGAGATGCTGATAAGAATGTATGGGGCAAAAATTTAGTGGCATCTTATGTTTATACTAAATCAAGTAATTTAATTTGAATATTTAAGATAAAAGTAAAAATGTATATTACTTAATTATTGCGTTGGTGATACATGTTTGCAAGACACATATTGTGTATTTATATATTTAATGTAAACACTGAGCGTTTAGTCAAGGGTTCATCGTAAA